TCTTCCTTTGGTGTGTCCTTGGACGCATGCGTCGTAGCTGGGAACACTTTCCTTTCTTTTCTCTCCTTTTTCTTGTCTCTCCCTACCCCGCCCTCTTGTCGGCACCTTAGCTTGGGATGCTACTAGGGGCTCCTGGCCTTCCTACTAGTTTCTTTGACGCTACTAGAGGTCCCTGGCCTTTCCACTACTTGGGGACGAAGAGTCTCACACCACCTATGGCGCGGAGCTTAACAATCTTGCCTCCCCTCGGGGAGGCGTGTGTGTAACCCTTGCAATCATAGGGATCCTTTCGGATTGTTTTAGCTTCACAGTTGTTTTCCTTGTGTAGCAGGGGGATTGGAGCCGATTCGCCTATCCAGTCCAACGAAGCTATGGCATTTCGGCGGATGAGTGGTCTGATCAACTACTTGTACCTGCGCAATTTTTAAACCTTTGGTAAAGGCTAATGCGCCCGGCAGACATGAACGAACGTCATGAGCCTGCTCAATCCGCGATCATCAATGGGTTTCTTCCGCTTTGGGCCTTCTTTCCTCTTCAAGTCCTCCAGGTTCCCGTGGTTCATACTTGTTCCCTTAGGAATTGGAACCCTAGGCCGGCGTGTGGCACCGCTTTCAGTTCAGTACACCCTATCCTAAGTGTGTGTGTGTGTGTCACCCTCTGTAACTAAGAGTTTTGCTACCTGTTCACCCCATTCAACGCAGGGGGGCAAGGCCTCCAGCGATGAAGCTTGTCCAACGAAGCTAAATCGCTGGAGGGGAAGGGAATGGAGAGGTCCATTCGTGTACCTGCAACGTTTGACTACGCTGTGACTCCAATCTTTCCTTGTTTGATTCCATGGTCCTTGCATGATAGATCCCTAAACCTTTTTCCCACCGCTGACTTGCAGCCGCGTAGTCACTGAGCGCTTCCGCAGTCAAGTGAGAAACTCTTTTGTTAAAACACCTACAAGTGCTTGGACCTTTCGCCTTGCCGTTCCCTCGCCCTTTTTCCACTTGGGAATAGATTAACTTAAAACCAATGTCAGAGTGTGAGCCGCTCAGTCGTCCCACTTGGGTGCTGGGTGTGATCCCCGTCACAGGGGCGCTGAATTCATGCCGGACTGCCACTAACTGAATCTATCGTTTCCTCCATTCGTTGGATTGTCTTAACCTTTGTTTCACTCCTGGAAATCCAATGCCGTCGGGCCCACGATTTCTCCACCAATACTTCCATTTGAGCGATGTTACGTTCTGCATTTTGTCACTTTCCTTTCGCTGCCAGAGTTCAGTTTCAAGACCATTTTCAAGACCATTTTTGAGACCAGTGAAGCTACTGTCTAACTTCCATGATTTTCACCCATGCAGTTTTCTCCATTTCGCAGCTTGACTTCCATTTCTTTCGACGTTCACCTTTTCCTGTCTCCGCTGCGGACCCGCTGCGCTGGCGCCATACCTGCAGCTGCAAGAGAAGATTTCCAACAGAGCACTTTATCGTGATGCAGTTCGTGGCCATACCCCTATATACCACCACCTCAGCAGGCTCACCAACCTCCAGTCTTTCCTATTCCACAGCAGATGCAGCCAACCATCCCACATTACCCTCCTGCCACCATGCCGCCGCAACCAGCATGGCGTTTCAGCCAACACTCCCTCCAACACTTCCTCCACCTTCACACCCAACACCCACCTTTCCTGTCGCCTACAGTCTCCCCACACAGGAACCCATGACCTTGCCTACTGCTCCACCGCAGTCGGCCACTCTCACCTGGGACCCTCAGCAAGGAGTTTGGCAACAACAACCATTTTCTGCTTTTCCACCTACCGCTCCGCTCCAAACCAGCCGTCCATTCCCACCCAAGCTCCACCAACCAAAACGCAGGCATCCACTTCCCAGCCACTGCCACCGCCGCCACTTCCACCGCCACCGAACCTGGCCCTGCTACTGACGCAGGAGCCAAGACCACCGACTCCAAGGCTAATACACATGACTCCGCAGCCAATCCAGCGGACCAGGGTACCACCAAACAGCAGACCACAGGCAATCAGCATGCCTCACGCCGCCGCCGCCGCCGCTCTGGTCGACACCAACATCGCCGCGGTCGTCAAAGACGGCGCCGTTCTCGCCGAAAGCGCTCGCCTACCTCATCCCGATGCAGAGAACGGACGCCAGATTCCACTTACTCCACATACAGCTCGCGCTCGCGCAGCCGCGCCCCACCATCCACCGATAGCGGTGGTGGGCTTTGGCAGCAAGAGAGTGAATGGCGATGTGGTTGTAGTGGTGTAAATCACTCACGCACCTCCCTACGTTTCACCACGCACCGGCTCCGCTACAGCAAAAAGATGCCACAGCTGCTGCCATGCGCCGCTTTCACCGTCGGTAGACGTCGCCCTTCACTGACTGACACTTTTTCACTCAGACGGCTTAGGTTTTGATTGCAGCCACCCTTTGAGCCATCAGTGAGAACGGATTCCATTCTGATTTTACCATGACTCCGTTATTTGTCTACGCATTTGCACTCTATCGGGCTCGCATTATTTCATTGCGCATTCCTTGCTATCCCCGTAATTCGATTGCACGTTTTTCCGTGATACTTCCAGCCACGATGATGAACTCGCAATCTTACAACATGCTTCTCCAAGTCACGGCTGGCCTTTCTCAACTTAGTCAAGCAGCAGCGGACATACCAAAACCTCCACACTTTCCTCCTCCGCTACACACAGCAGGTCGACCCTCACTCCCAGCAACCTCCTCCACTCCCACCTGTCATCAGGTCACCGCTACACATCCCACCCTCTCCCACTTTCTCTTGCGACGCTCCACCACCCCGTCCAACACGACCACGACCAAGATCTCCCACACTGGAGTCCAAACAGACACCCAGTCCATCAGCGTCGCCGCGTCCCAAACGACGCCGCGCCCGCAGGCCAAAATCCCCCCCTTCAACACCCTTCAACATGAAGGTACCAGTTGGGATGACTGGGATGCTGACGCCAAATGTCTCCTTGTGGACCTCAAGATAGACCCCAGGCTCGGACCAAACTGGCAATACGTTGTCCGCCGTGTTTGCTTTTCTGTTGAACAATGCAAGGCTCGCTGGGCTGAACTTAACGAATTGCAATGCCAAATCTCCAGCAT